ATTTATTTATTTATTTTTCTGATCTGAAATTAATATTTAACAATATTTTTATAAATGACGAAATATAAAAAATGGCAGGGCTTTTTTCCCACCACTTTTTTTCCACAATAATTTAGTCCTAAAATATGTATTTATATTTTTCCATTTGGAAGTCTTAAATACATTAATATGTTAATAAACTGAATAAATTCATGGAATAGATTATATCATACTTGCATGGTGAAAAACTAAGATTTAATTAAACATGTAACCAATCATGAACAAAATAATAAAATAGAATACATTTTCCAAAATGATACATACGGTAAAGACAAAAAAAATCTGACCTGTCTCTTTTATTTTGTGCCCTAAAAGCCTAATGTGGTACCGTAAAATCTCACATCATCCTTCCTGTGATGTGAGATAATGAGTCAGGGGTACCAGAATTTTGAGAGATTGTGAATCTACCAAATATATTTGACTTTCCATATCCCAGAAATATTTTTCTTTATTTATTTTGCATATTTTTTGGGGGTGAAACCTGTAGAATTCTGCATAATGAATTGAATGAATGTATTAAACAAAACTAAACTCTTATTGCTAGATGAAAGCACAATCAAATTAGCTAATGGGACATGGGATGTGCAGAACTGATGGGAGTTTAGAGAGAGCTCAGCTGTGCATAAAAACAGGAACGAGGAAATTCTACGGCAGCCCTGACTAATGCCTAGAACAATAGGAGCTGGCACTGTTGGCAGGTACGCACACACATGCATACATCATGGGTTCAAAAAGCCAACCAAGCCTGTTTGTCTGTCATCACACATCACGCTTATCTATGTGGCCTAGGTTGTTATTAGGAATCTCTGCGTGTTGACAGCTTTTATTGCCCTGTCTGTTACACTACAGTGTAGGTCAATCATTAGTGTGCAGCGGGGTAAGACATCACATAACGCTGAAACATGAGCCAGAGGCTCCAGCGCAGCTCTGCAAATAAACGCTTCACAATGTGTATGCACAGAAATTGCTAGAAAGATTTTGTTGTGTTGAATGCGGGGCTCACCGGCACTGCTGACACAAACATCCACCCTACCAAGACACTCCTTATGGGCGCCCGCACCACATTTGGAGCAGCGGTAGCCTTGATAGAAGACTCCTCTGAGAAAATGAACAAAAAATAGAATGATGATAGACAAAATGATATATGGATAGATATATGGAACAAGAGATAAATAGAATGATGAAACAATAGAAAGTATTACAGCACAATAGACAGACAGACAGACAGACAGACAGACAGACAGACAGACAGACAGACAGACAGACAGACAGACAGACAGATAGATAGATAGATAGATAGATAGATAGATAGATAGATAGATAGATAGATAGGCAGGCAGGCAGACAGAGAGATAGAGAGACAAACAGATAGACAGACAGACAGACAGACAGACAGACATTTACCATAGATAGATAGACCATAGATGTATCCATCATCTGCCAATTTATTAATTCTGAAATCACTGAAGCGATGATACATACACTTGATTTATCACTTTCCCTCTCTTTCCCACTCTCACTTTCTCTAGGTGCATTATCGATCTCATTAAGGTGTATTGTGGGTAGACTGTCATTGCATAAAGCCTCTACGGTGAGCTCACCTCAGCAGCATTTTACACGAGCTGCAGGATGTGGTTGTCTCAAAGGTGTGCATGCGGAACTCATGGAAATTACTTTTCCCGCTCTCTGGACAGATGTTCGATCTGTTGAGAGAGAAAGAGAGAGAGGAAGTGGGTGTTAAAAACAAGTCTGGAGACCTTTTTGCATAACCGTAAGAACTGCTCATTTCCATCTGTCGTCTGCTCCCACCAACCAACCAGCTGTGATTTTCTCTTGAGACACATAAGGGTAACTAGGGTAACTAATTTGCATTTTCTGGAAAAAAATGTCAGACGACCATGTAAAACACAATACCACAAACTAGGATGCTACTTATGAATCCCTGAATGTACAGCACATACTATAAACATTTCAATTGTATATTCTAAATAATGATTTGTAGTTTGTAGTTTATGTAGTAATGTAGTTCTTGATCTTAAAATAAAATGATTTATAAATTGTTACTAAAGACAAGTCTATTTTAAATAGACTCAAGGATCATGTGACACTGAAGACTGTAGTAATAGCTGCTGAAAAACATCACAGAAATAAATTACATTTTAAAATAATTCAAAATAGAAAGCAATAGTGATGCTGCTTTAGTGTGCACTACTAATTACAGCATGAGCAGAAGTCATGATGTCGTCTATAGCACTATTACTTTTTTATAGTCCAAGACCCTCCACCCCCTTTCTGTGTCTTTCTCTCGATTCATCTCGAATAACCCTTGAGTGGTGAGTGCCCTCATAATAAAGGCATTAACAAATGACAGACAGATAACAGAGCTGTGTGTGCGTGCTGATGTCATGTCATTAACACTCAGAGTGTGCAACAGCACTGATATCCAATCAGCTTTCAGCTGCAGACTGATCTGATGACACATGACAGAGAGAAAGAGAGCACTGACTCACCACTGTTCTCCAGAATTAATGAGCCCTTCAGATAAATCTGTTAAAAACGTGTTATCTAATTAATCAGAGCCCTGTCTCCTGTCTTTGGTGCATTACACTTTTTTTTCTCCCGACTTATTCTGAGCATTTCTTTTTTTTTTGTGGATGTGCCCTTTTTGGATATGCTTGACGTCTAAAATTTGGTAGATTACTTGTCTGATGGTTTATTGCGTTTTTCATCTGCATTTTACTGATTGTTGCTGTCATCAGCCAGGAATTATAAATATATTTTCTCACTCTTTCTCTCATAGGTACGCTGTGGGATCCCTTATTGCCTTAGTATTTCATAATACAAAGATTTACTTGAATCTGACTCTCCTAAGAATAGTAAATGGAATAAAATTAAAGTGAGGGAAGATAAAAAGCCTCTGGGTGTGTATAAATTAAAAGAGAAATATCATAGATTTTTTTTTTACACTTTTTTTGATGTACCATGTAGAAATAATATATTCTAATGTGCAATATCAGAAACTACCCATGTTTAAATATCAAAACATATTCATTATTTTCAGTTTACGTAGAAATCTTAAAAGTATAGTACTTCAACAAAAACAGCTTGTTTAAAACTCTCATGTTGTTCCAAACCCATACAAATTTAGTCACTCTTTTTCACACAATTACAACTAATAAAGCTTAAAAAAGAATGAAAGCACCATAAAATTAACATAAAAGTGGTCCATATGCTATATTCCAAGTCGTCTGAAGTCATATGATAGCTTTAAAGGTGGGGTAAGCGATTTCTGGTAGCCAATGTTGACATTTGAAATCACCAAAACAAACACGCCCCTACCCCAAAAGGGTCTTGCCCCTATTTTGATAGCTCCGCAACCTCGGCGTCCGATCGCAGGCCTTCCGCTATTTGAGTTCTGTACAGCGCTGGAAAGCTGATCCGATATTTACACTGGCCCTACTTCTTGCCTTATCTTTCTGTCGCTCGGCTTGGCTAATGTCGGTCCTGTGCACTGAACGCTCTCTCCTCCACATCACGAGTAGACACGCCCCTTACTGCTGATTGGCTACAAGTTAGTTTTTCTATTCGGCCTGAATCAGTTTTCTAAAGCGTTTTTGAAAAATCGCTTACTACACCTTTAAGTGAGGAACAAGCAAACATCTAAAACGATTTTCAATACATACACTGACTCTCCTGATCTATGTCCAATTTGTAACCAAACCTTTATTTTGAGTCCATTCTTTTTTAATGACTATAATGACTTTTTTAATGACTCGATACAGTTTACAAACTGAATGATTAGTTCCGAAAGTTAAACTTAATGACGCAATGATCCAGTCCCAGTGATTCTTAAGTTCTTATGGCAAAGATTATCAATGAACTTTTTTTGATTGAAATTGGCATCTGTTTGTCACACAAAGCAATCATATAGTTTTATAAGACTTGAAATATAGTGCATGAGTCGTATGGGCTACTTTTATTATTATACTTTTCCAGTGCAATATTTTCTGTCCCTATTCATTTTAACTGCAAGAGGAAACACAGTCATTCTTTATTTGTGTTCCACTGAAGGAAGAAAGTCATGCAGGTTTGGAACGACATGCGGGCCAGTAAATACCTGAATTTAGTGAGCTATTCCTGTAAAGATCAGAGAGAGGGTGAAAAATGGTCATATAACACTAAATTACGACAGGATTTGGTGCAAGAAACATAATAAGTTGGCTTTAGGGATAAAAAAATATCTGCTGGAAAGGCACAGAGTATATCCTCTTTAAAACAACCAAACTAACTAAAAGAAAAAAGACTTGGTATATACAAGTCTATCTGCAAAACTGAACCAACCACTCTGATGGAATGTATGAAAACACTTTGGGTCACATTATGTTTTATAAGGTACACCACTGCAAAAATGCTTGGCTCAGCAAGTCTGTCCTCATTACTGTGTTTGTTCTGTAGTAAAAATAAACACTAATGGTATTCAGGCTTGAATCAAGGCCAGGACATACTGTCGTAGCTAAATCACGCTTTTGTGTCTGTTGTCAAGATAGATAACAAACCTGAAAAACAGGACAGTACAGACCTGTGCAGACCTTCAGAGACAACAAAACACTCACAATGCCATGCCAAACTGCTCCAGCCATTTCTTCTTCACCTCCTTGGTTTTAAAAAAGAACTCGAAGCCGTTCTGACCCTGATTGTGTGTGAGGTAGAATCCGTGGCACCACTGGAAGAAAGAGAGAAAGCAAGAACATCCATGTTATAAATGCAAAACACACACACATGCACAGATAAAGCAAAGACAAACACCGTCTTAAAGCCGTTTGATTCGAAACATCAAAGACACTCTAACAAGTCTGAGACTACAAAGCCCTAGACCACATGATGGTGCGAGGGGTCACTGTTGTTTATGCAAGACTGACGAAATGCTATTATCAAATCTAGCACGGTCATCCTGTTATCGTCTGTTAGCACTGTGTTGACGTTTACATCATATTGCAACTGATGTAGATATTGACTGCACTGAACAAATGGATCAGATTTCATCATTTGCAAGATATGACAGTGTGGACAGTCAGATTCGAAAAACAAACATCTTTTTTGTGTGCAATGTGAACAAAGTCATAGAGAATGCAGTTATGCATCTGGACTCTAAGCCTGTCTGTCTGAAATTATTAAATTAATGAACAGTAAGGGATCTGTTTGGAAAATTTTGATTTTAAAAGCCTCTTGGGCCTGGCATTAACATGCTTTTTGTATGTGAATATTATGTACACTTCCATTCAAAAGTCTAGGCTGCCTTTTTCATATTTTTGAAGGAAATTTCATTTATTTGATAAACTGTAATATTGGAAAATATTGACATTTAAAATTGTTTTCTATTTTAATATATTTTCAAATGTAATTTATTCTTGTGATGGCAAAGCTGAATTTTTAGCATCATTAGTGTCACAAGATCCTTCAGAAATCATTCTAATATGCTGATTTGCTGCTCAAGAAACATTTCTTATTATACATGTCAAAAACAGTTTTGCTGCTTAATATTTTTTAAGATTCTTTGATGAATAGAGCTCTCAAAAGAGGAGCATTTGAAAAAAACTTTTCCTGTCACATCTGCTGAATTTAATGCATCCTTGCTGACTGTATTAACGACTTACAATAAATAAATAAATGAAAAATTAAGAGAAATATTCCAGCCTAAAAAATTATAATAAATAAATTGCTAAGTAGCAATTGTGAGAATTGTGAGATAAATTGTGAGATAGAATTGTGAGATAAAAACTCGCAATTCTGAATTTTTTTCTCACAATTGAGAGTTCATATCTTGCAATTCACTTTTTTTCCTCACAATTCTGACTTTATAACAATTGCGCATTATAACGTCGGAATTCCGAGATATAAACTCACAATTCTGAGAAAAACAGTCACAACTATGAGATATAAATTTACAATTCTGAGAAAAAAAGTCAGAATTGTGAGTTCATATCTCACAATTCTGACTTTATTTCTCAGAATTGTGAGTTTATACCTCGCAATTCTGAGTTTTTTTCTCGCAATTGTAAGTTTATATCATGCAATACTGACTTTATAACTTGCAATTGCGAATTTACATAACGCAATTCTGAGGAAAAAAGTCCGAATTGCAAGTTTACAAATCCAAATTTGGAGTTTATATCACTGTTTTGATTTTTTTATATATAATAAAAAAAAGCCTATGGAAGCCAGTTTCCAACAATGAATAAAAAAAAAAAATAGGTAATGGTGAGTTTTTATCTCACAATTCAGACTTTTTTCTCAGAATTGCATGACATAAACTCACAACTGCGAGTTATTAAGTCAGAATCGCAGGATATACAGTAAACTCGCAATTGCGAGAAATAAAGTCAGAATTGCGAGATAAAAACTCGCAATTCTGAATTTTTTTCTCACAATTGAGAGTTCATATCTTGCAATTCACTTTTTTTCCTCACAATTCTGACTTTATAACAATTGCGCATTATAACGTCGGAATTCCGAGATATAAACTCACAATTCTGAGAAAAACAGTCACAACTATGAGATATAAATTTACAATTCTGAGAAAAAAAGTCAGAATTGTGAGTTCATATCTCACAATTCTGACTTTATTTCTCAGAATTGTGAGTTTATACCTCGCAATTCTGAGTTTTTTTCTCGCAATTGTAAGTTTATATCATGCAATACTGACTTTATAACTTGCAATTGCGAATTTACATAACGCAATTCTGAGGAAAAAAGTCCGAATTGCAAGTTTACAAATCCAAATTTGGAGTTTATATCACACAATTCTGAGAAGAAGAAAAAGTTCGAATTGCAAGATGTAAACTCGCAATTGCAAGAAAAACAGTATTTTTTGAATTGTGAGATAAAAAGTCGCAATTAACTTTTACCTGCAATTTTTTTTCACTCATTATTATTATTATTAGTCAGGACTCTGATGAACAAAAACACCTTCCCTCAACAAATTTTGAGGCATCATCATTCACTAAAGTACCCTAGAGGAACCCTAATAATAATAGTGATGTTTACATTGCATGTGTTTACCAGCATAATTTCTCTTCCTTGCACACAATCTCTCTGTCTTGAACATGTAATATTTACAGCGTTATCTAACAAATTATCATCCTGGCACAGCAGCACGTAATGTAATATAACAAACGACATCATGTTTTCTAATTTAGCTGTGTCTGGTGTCGCTGCGTTCGTTAGCAGTCGCTAGACGGTTTTTAATAGGAAACACCATCTGTGCGAATGAATGCTTCTCTACTGCAGTAACTGATTATGGCACGACAGCATAACAGCAAATTTGCTGCCCTCGGCTTCGGTGCAGTGAACTTTGGCGGCAATTAGGAGACCGGCTGCAAACCTTTCGGTTTTCTCTTTCTGAGGTCGGGTTGTTGGTGATCTTGAAGGAGTGGAGGTCAATCACCTCCTTCATCTCGTAGTTATCTCCTCGTCGTTTGCATACGATCACGGCAGCGTCGAACAGAAAGATGTGCCTGTAGCAGAAGAATGGCATAGATCAAAAGAGAAGGAGAAAATACAAGAGGAGCGCTTGAGGGTGACACCTTCATAACCCTTAGGCCTTAGTAAAGACCTGCGGAGTTTCAGGCTGAGCAGTATTCCACACTTTAATCATCTCACCTGTCTTGTTTGGCTCGTTTGTCGACTGAAGCTACTCGCACTTCGCTGTCACCTTTCGGTCTCCCGTAGTTACGGAGAGACTGATTCTGCAGAACATAAGAATGGTGCACATTCAATGCAGACATGCTTGTACGCTACTAGGGGTCAATGCTCTTAAGTTAGACTAAAGTTCCACAAAACTGTTCAAAGCTTCATACTGTCTCTGCTTAACTACTTCGAGCAGTGTTGGGGAAAAAACTAACTAAAAGTAGGCATGCAAATCAGTGCATTTTGCAGTAGTCTGACACTATCTTGGGTGTTTTTAAAATAGTTCAGCTTTTCCAGGAGCATACAGTACACTGGCATTTTTTTTCAGCAAGTGTAGCATAAAAAAGAACACACAGTCTTTTAACAAAACGAGCTGAAGAAATAATAAAATACACTTTCCTAAAAACATCTCTCTCAAGTTGCAAGTGTGATTCATTTTAGTAAACTGAATGGTTAATGATTCACTAATTCATTTTAATGATCTTAATGTTTTGTTTGCAGTGAAATACTAAAATATTTTAACAAATTCCTTTTTTGTATTGTTTTATTAGATGTTTAAAAAAATTTAAACTGTATATAGCAAAATCAATCCTTGATAAAAAAATCTCTAAAACAGAATCTGAATCTTTATTTATGAATTTAATTTAATTTAATAATTTTTTTAAAGGGCAAATGAAACAATTTACTGCTTAAAACTACTCCAGTGCAATGGGGGATCTTCATCTGAAAAAAAAAAAACGTTTTGGGTGTAAATGATCTGGTCCCAGCGAATATTGAGGTGGAATTTTTTTTCGGGTTATAATGTAGCTATATTGTTTTAAAAAGTGTAGTTTTTACAGTAGCTTCCCCAAAACTGATTTTTAAATAGTAGTCTGTACAAAACATGATTTTGCATACAAGGTTTTCTATAGATTTCTGGTACTGGTCGATGTCTCGTAGAGTCTCGATGTCCCTCTTCACCTCGTTGACATACTGAGCCAGATCCTGTAAAGATGGAAACACAAACACAACACCATAACATTCAACACGCTGAGACTTTGACCTGAGGACACACAAGGAAGTCTTTCTAGTTTTGCGCTAAAAATAACAATACTTCCTCTCTAGTTTCCTTATTGAAAATCTCGGCCCATGTGATGTTTTCAAGGGACTCATTTCCGTCTAAAAATGTAAAATAAGATTTAGCGTCTGAAAAGCGAGGCTTATTTGACAAATCTCATTCTGAACACTGTGCCCGCCGTTCCCGAGTTTAGCGACTCATTCATCATCGCGTATCTAGAATAATCAGAGAGTGGGGGGGCTGGATCGCCCACCGTGAGGATCTTTAAAGGGGAGCACTTGAGGAGGTTAACCGCGTTAGCCCGATACCCCAATCAATGCTAAGTGGATAATTTATCCAAATGAAATCATCACAGCCCTCGGTGCAATCTGCACAATCTTCTCAGCTTGATTTGCCTCAATTAGTGGACGGTTACCTGTCAAGATGCATTCGGCACCATCTTGATCATGTCTGAGTCAAGAGGGCCACATTGATTTTCAACGAAAGCTTTTTTTACGAAAAAGTTGATGCATGCACATCCCAAAAAAAAACTAAAAGAGAAAGAAATGTGTCACTGTTGTAATTTCAAATTGAACAAGGCCTCTAATATTAATCAAGATTGGTGATTAAAAGGCCTGTGTAGACCTTAGATTTGGCCCGCAATGGCCTGCCACGAGAGGAATAAAAAAATAGGGGAAATAACATGTCATTGAAGCTTAATTTCTTATTTATATTTTTGTTTTAACATGTCTTTTTGCTTTATTTTTGCACTGAAATGTTAGGGCTGTCAACGTTAACGCGTTAACGCATGCGATTAATTTGACAATCCTTAACGCGTTAAAATAATTTAACGCAGTTAACGCAAAATTATGATGGATGAAGACTGCAATCAAGGTAAAGACGAGACGATTGCGGTGGCGTATAGGAGTCGTACAGTAAGCACGCGTGAGTCCATTATAATAATGCGTGTATGAGTGCTCTTGATGCACTGATCGCACATTGTATTTATGCACAGGCACATTTCCATAATGTTTTGATTTGTCATGTTTATGTTGCTGTGTTTAGTTATACTGAATGGATCCATGTACTGTGGATATATGCAGTCAGCAGGCGATTGGTTTAGGGATTTTTTGGCATCACCATGTGGTCCTGTTCGGTATCGCAACTTGACTTCTCTAAAATGTAAAAAAGCTATTTGCTGTTGCACTGTACACATACTATACAATTCATATATATATATATATAAGTGTGTAAGTATATAAGTGTGTGTGTGTTTGACATTGAATACATTTTATTATAATATAGTTGTATATAATGCAACATTTACTTTTGTCCCATGGCCCTCAATAAAGTTTGATTTTTGGTCCTTCATATTAAAAATTTGGGACACTCTGGTATAAGTTATCACGAGCTAAATGTGTGTATGAGAGCAGATAACAAGGTCTAGGTGACCTGTAAAATGCCCAATGTGTCATTTTATGGTTCATATAAGCGCTCACACTGGTCCAGACTTCTCAGTGGACCACTACCCAGGAGTCCCTGCAACAGACAGCTTATGAAAAGGACGTTCAAATGCTCAACTCACCTTCATGGCATCCAGTGCTTGCCGTAAATTACTCTTGTCTGTGGCATCATGGGTGTGTTTCACCAGTTCCTGTCAGGAAGAAAGCGGGATATGAGTTTTTACGGGCCATGTCTCAGTGTCTTATTATCACCAGATGATGATAAACACAGCAGAAAGGAGGTATGACACGAACACAACAGATTATCGCAGAAATAAAATGCAGCCAATCTCTTATCTAAACGTTTGCAGAATTCCAGAAGAATATCGTTCGAATGTGATTTCACAGGCCTGCATCACAGTAATGTAATGTCTGGTCCACTTTGCACCTTTTAATGTCTAATAACTACCCAATTGTTCAAATTCTGCTCAAAATTTGTCACTTTGTTGCTATCAATGTGAACAACTTGAAAAATATTACCACTTTAAACTGATATTTATTGGCTTAGTCAGAAAATGTTTCTTAAAAGCATAATTTTTTATGTCTAAGTTTTACATCCTGATTTGCAACCATTACTTTTACAACCCCTTCTTTGTATGGTTACAGTAAAAATATAATTTTCAAAATATGGACATACTGTACACTAGAGCCCGACCGATATGGGTTTTTTGGGGCCGATACCGATATTCTTTGTGTATATTATAGTACAGTACCAGTCAAAAGTTTGGACACTTTCCCATTCGTGTGTCCACACATTTGACTGGTACTATATATAGAATACAGTATATACATAAACAGAATATATATACATAAACACATTTTTTGCAACGATCACTCAAATGTGGCGGCATATTCGCCGATACCGATATATCGGCAACAGGCTCCTATCGGCCGATAATATCGGCAAAGCTATATATCGGTCGGGCTGTACTGTACACTATCATTCAAAAGTCAGTAAAAATGTTTCCATGCTTTTTTAAAAAGTCTTATGCTCACCAAGGCATTTATTTGATCAAAAATACAGCTAAAACAGTAATATTGTGAATATATCATTACAATTTAAAATAACTGTTTAATATGTGATGACAAAGCTGCAGCCATTACTCCACTCTTCAGTGTCACATGATACATGGTTATTATTGTAACCTATAATTAAAACTTATACTATTAAAAACACTGTTGTTGAAAATTTAACAAATTAAATTGAATATAAATATTCAAAACTTGATGACTAAAATAAGGTTAAGTTGAGGCACTACAATTCCTAAAAAACTAAAACTGAAATAAAAATAAATTCAACTTATAAATAGTATGTTTGAAAAACAAAAACTAATAAAATTGCAAAAGCACATAACAAAATTACTGAAATGAAAATGAAAAAAGAAAATAGCAAAAAATAATTATTATTAAAAACTATTTTAAAATATATAAAAAACTATGACATAATAAAGTAACACTAAATCCATCAGAAATCATTCTAATAGGCTGATTTGGTGCGCAGGAAACATGTCTTATTATTATCAATGTTGCAAACAGTTATGCTGCTTAATAGTTTCATAAATAAATGAATGAATGAATGAAAGAATGTAAGACTAGATAAGATTTACAATTATTTAATTTCATTTTTTAATTTAAATATACAAATATTAGAATCCCTTATATTAGATTATTTATGAATTTTGATTATAACTCATTATGTAAAGCTGGCTTGCTCTTTCTCTCAATGGCCAAGGCTTTCTCCAGCAGAGCAAAGAGCAGAGAAAGACAGTCTGTCACACGCTAGCCTGCTCTCCAGAGGGGCAGCAGACAGGCAGACGCTCTATCTGCAGCGCCCGCCTCACACACACACACACACACACACATTCCCTAAACCCACAGCTGGCCAGATGGGCAGGGAGGTGAACTGAGCTGTGGACAGCCTTGCAGGCATGCTAAGTACACACACACACACACACACACACACACAGAAAACACCTTCACTGTTCTGTCCACTGAGAGCCGAAAGGTTCCTGCAACAGCAGGAGGATCGCGGTGGCTTCGGTTCACACACGCTATGCACATCTCCTTCTCTCTGCTTTTCTATTTCTCTCTCGCCTTCGTTCACATTTATTTCTAAATCCCCTCCTAGCTGGGTCATGCAGTAGACCTAACGTGTGATGGACAGAGACACACTATGAAATATTCATGCCAGTCTGTGTGAAATGTTTGTGGAAAAGGGCCAGACCAAACATACATGACTGGATAAAGCATGCTGCTTGCTCATTATGTGGATTATACTGCCCCTACCAGAGGAATCTGGGATATATTACACTGCCACCTACTGGTGGATTTCAAACATGCATTATGCTGCTTCTAAGTGGAAGAGTAAAACATGGACTCCACTGCCCCTAGTGGACAGTAGCAGTAAAGCATTCATTTAAAGACAACATGAAAGAAGAAATGACCCTATTTTTTTACAGTCCATCAGGGCACATTAATCAGTGCACATTATTATATAGAGGATAGATTTAGTTAACTAAATCTTAAACATTTTTTAATAAAATAGATGTTAACTAAAATAATACATAGAAAACAAACTAAAACGGAATTTTTTTTTTTTAAAATAAAAAAAAACTAATTGACAAAAACAAAAACACAATAAAATTTAATTTTTACTAAAACTTTAAAACTTTAACTAAATTAAAAATGAAAACAGAAAAAAATAATACTTAAAATTATACTAATAATATATATAAATTAATATATATTTTTAAATCACATTAGTATCTCTAATTCTAAAATAACACTGCTTTAATGAACAGGAATACAGCAAAATTATTTCAGACCTGTAGAAGTAGATGATACTTCAGGACTCTCTGCATCGGAACCACCAGAAGATCTCTCAGAGTAAACTTCCCGTTATTGGCTCGTTTGGAACATAACTGAAATTAATAACCAAAAAAAAAACACATATGTGACTGTGACATGACTGTTCTGTAAATAAATTAAGATAGCAAAACGTTTAAATAAACTGTTCATAAATATTCTGCACAGTTCTCAACCACCAGGTGGCACTGTCTAACAGCAAATAAATAGTTTCACTTCAGTTTTGGTAGTGAAACATAAGAACTACTTTCATAAATAATTTCATAACAAATTAATTTTATGCTGTACAAAGGGTCAAAATAATGTCACTTCCTCAGTGTCATGTTCTTTAGAAATGTTACATTATTTTTTATAATGAGGGGAGACAAAATCACGTAAAACAAAAATTCAGAGTACATCCAAACCTACAATTAACTGAATACCAATTAAATAGGCTGTATTATTTAAATGACACTTTTTATTAAAATATTAGATAGTTAATTGTATGTTAGATAATAGTTTTCTTAACATTTCCAAGTGCTCACAAGAAATATGTGTGCCTTTGATGCTAAAAAAAGTGTCGTCCAGTATTCATGGAAAATGCCACTTATGACCCGAGAGATGTTTTATGAATATAGTCTGGCAATGTCTTACCTCTAACATCTGCCTGACGTCCTCTCTGTTCTTACAGATGTCATCCAAACACGAAATGGCTGATTCTACTTGACTGCAGTATTTCCCATACAGGACTAATCTATCAGACAGGAAAACAGACACATGTGAGAAGGGGAAGGAGGGTTTCATTCTTTTAATCGCTGAAGGGATAAATCAATCACCTTTCTTTGTATTTTATAAAGATCTGAAACAGGTTACTGGCGTTATGCATGAGCACTGAATCCTGGACCTCTCTCAGAAGACTCGTGTGCACCTTCACAAGGTCCTGGTACAATACAGAACATCAAAATATTAGGCGATAAGAACAATGACACAGTGATTCATGCTAAAATGTGTCCTCCGTTAGAGGCTGTTTGTGACTCACTGGTATATTGATGAACACTTTTTCAATCTCCACACTGGACAGTGACTGTCCCAGAGGCTTCATAAAGAACTGTGGGTGGAGAAAAGAAAAATACTAATTAAGAAGTTGCTATGGATAAGCTAATGCACACAATAAAGTTATATTGCAATATAATCAATCTTTGTGGAAATGTACCTTGTTTTTATCATAGTAACTATAACAGAAATGTTGTATATTCATACTAAGATTTCAAATAAATGAATACATTTTAATGATGATGATGATGAACATTTAATAAGGAATATTACTATTATCCACATTGTAAATTGACCATGGTTTTTTATAGTTACTACAATTAACATGTTGTATATTCATACTAATATAAAAAATTAAACAAATAATTTTTTTATTATTATTAATACATAAATAGTACTACTAATAATAATAATAATTATTATTATTATTATAACTATAATAATAATAAGTAAATAAATAAATAAATAACAGCAGCAATAAACCTATATTACAAAATGATTTTTTGATCCACTGTGGAAATTGACCATGGTTTTATTGTTGTAACTATAATATAAATGTTGTATATTCATACTAAGATTTAAAATAAACATCAATAATAATATGAATATTAAAAACAATATTTTTATTGATAGTTATAGTTTCTAAATTTGTTTAGGCGGTTTTTAAGCATTTTCAAAACCATACATTGTTTTCAGAATATTTGTCATTTTATTTTTTTTATTTCTTTAATGTGATCATAATGGTGGCTTATAGCAAGTTACTAGAAGGCAACGGTAACAATAATTGGTATTCTATGGTATTTTGCCAGCAACCATGGGTATCATGGTAAAATATTGCACAGTAAGTTAAATCTAAACATGGTAAAAAGATTCATCCATGATTTGAGCTGTGGTTACTATGGTTTTTATACAAATGATGTGTCACATTACATCTAGCAGACACTTGGCAGATCTCATACACTGCATTAAAGCTATAATATTACAGCAGGTCTGACTGTGCAGTTCTAAAGAGGCCTCACTTTCTCTATGGAGTCCAGCGTCTCTGTGTATTTCTCCTCAGTCTGTTTGATTTCCATCAGACAACAGCTTCTGATGTCCGTCTCGGCCTGTTTCTGTAATTACAGCAGCAAACAGAGAGCATTTTATGACTTGCAACCCAAAGCGTGTTTATATACTGTATAAAGCATTTCAGTGAACTCACCTGTGGTTGTACCAGCTCAACCTTCATCAGATCTTCATACACCTCTCCTCCCTCATCATCATCATACACACAGTCATAGAGATCTTCCTCATCCTCAACACCATTCTCACTGAGACACACAGACCAACAACATTTAGAGCTTCTCCAAAGGTTTTAGTTTAGTATATAAAATGACTATCTGACTACAGGCAGTTTACAGTAAGCAGAGAGAAATACGTTGGACGTTGGAACAGAAAAACCCCTAAGAGGACAGCCTGGAATAAAATGAAATATAAATAATAGAAAATATTGGTGGTGTGGCATATGTGATCTCATATGACAGTGTGATTCAGCTCAGTTTCTGATTCAGCTCAGTGGACTGCTGATCCACTGTAGGAGTGGCTTATGTGGCTTGAAATATAGTGCGCTCATAATCGAGAGATCAAGAAAGTATAACACTTCTGGACTGTGGCGTGACAAAATAGCAGATCAAGTGGCACCGCAGGGCTCTTCATGGTCCTGTAATCCTATGACTGTGTTTGTTGTTGCCTGTCTGCTGGAATAGGAGACCCTATATGTGGCAGCAGTGGAAACGAGAGGACACAGGCCAAAGGCAAAATCTGACAGTTTGCATCTGAGGCTGTTAACAGCTGTACAGCTGCAATAACCCTTGGTGTGTCTGTATATATATATATATATATATATAT